ATGTGAGTTGTGGAATATAACCGGTTCTGGACTTCGCTCTGTGACCTTTGTAAATCGATCTTCCGGGGTATCAAATTACAAGGAGCATTGTGTGAATCACTAACTACACGCGAAAATAAAATGGCTTTAGATTTCTCCCAGTTCGGTTTCTACGCATTCAAGCCATCCAAACAGAAGGTCTCCAGAGGCAAGTGCCAGTCCTTTCATCTTCGTTTTGGAGAGAATGAAACGTGTATGGACGAAATAATCAAAAACACCTATTAAATGGAAGAAAAGACATAAAAAAAAAACTAAACAAAACGTTAAAAGAGAACATTACAAAAGAAAAAGAGAAAAAAAAACTCAGCGCTTCCCACACCGGGAGTCGAACCCGGGCCGCCTGGGTGAAAACCAGGAATCCTAACCGCTAGACCATGTGGGAATTACTTGGTAGAAGTCAAAATTATTAAATACTTAAACTCTTTGTTTCTCTTGGTTCGAGTGGTTCTCCCACGTAATTGCCTTGAAAAATACTACGACATGGTTTGAGAGTCTCAAATATCAGCAGCGAATGTGTAATAACCAAGAAAAAGATACAACACTAAGTCGTACGTGCTTCAGTGAGATCTGGGCAACGTCAGCGCGTTCTTCCCGGCGTTCTGGAATATTTACACTCGAATAATAATAATATCGAAAGAATTTGCGATGATAATTTTGGTTTTAACGTGTTTTTAAATTATTTCATTTAACATGGGAGGGTTGTCGCCTGTTTCGAGCAAAATGTAACTCGTATAAGGACAAAATTTGCAGCTTTAGGGCGAAAATTGTTTATCATTGGTTATGAATAATTAACTGATTTAGCACGCTGAATTGGAATATATTAAACGAATGCAGATTAATTATACGCACGAGTAATCGCTATGAGTTTCGATAAATATACAGACTGCCTCGAAATAAAAGCAAACAGAAGAAAAACAAAGAAACCAAAAAGTTTAAACAGCTGCTAAAGTTTATGAAATTTAGTAAATGACTGAACAGAAATTTGTATTATTTTCATGAAGGCGTTAAGAACCCTCGAAGATTTCTAATTCAGACTAACGTGTGAAATTCTTTACTGCTGTTTTTTGGTGCAGCCTCGCGTTTTATTGGCTTCGAGTCCTTGAGGTTATTATTAAATTTCTGTTTTATCTACGCTTTTGATAATCTGGTTGTTTCACCTTTGATTTGCAAAGAGTTGCAAAGTCTGAGAGAGTAGAGAATTGTTCTCTACCCGATAAAGAGTAAAGCAACTCCAGGTTTAAATGATAACGAAAATAGTCAACGAGATTTCGACAACAACCGTCACGGTAATACCGAATGCTGCAAAATGGTCAACGTTATAAGTTTCTTTGATTTCAAACTTTTTCAATTTTTTCACTTTTTCTTTCAAGCTTTTTTTTTATCCAAAGATATCCATGACGTCACACGAGCTTGATTGATTGGCAGGTAACAATCAAGCGTAGTTAACAGGTGCCCCCCAGTTACCTCTCGCCAAACGAGGGGCGAAACAAACCGTTTTCCTCGCTGGGGTATTGAGATATTCCGCGAAATAGAAAGATTTATTACATGCAATCCCTTGAAACTGTATAGCAATGTGTTGCGGAAGGATCTGCCGCAAGCTGTGCCTGGCTTTTAAGAAGTTGATAGTGAGATTTCTAGCGCATCGCGCAGGGTTCCAGAAGAACCATTTATTATGCTGTCGAAGATGCAATGGTAAGAAAGGAATATTTATCTCATACGATTTTTTTAACAAGCATAACTTGCTCATAAATGCACATTTTGGCGTACAAACATGCTTTCGTAAATATACGTACATACTGCTTTTTGAAAATTTACCTATGGTAACTTTTGCAGCATAAGTGGCAAAGCGTCCCTCGATACCTGTTAAGTTTATTTTACAACCTGCTAGATTTTTGTGAGCAAGCGTGCCAACGCCTGGATTTATCGAGGAAATAGTTTCTACATTCGAATTTACGATCGGCGCACTTTATATTTATACCGAGAAACAAAAATGATCGTAAATATCGTCAATTCTACTTTTCGAAATGAACTGAAATTGTGTTAAGGCTATTGCAGTTTGTGTGTTGCTCCATTTTCATCAGAAAAATAAAATACCAGTTAAACAGTTTTATTCATAAACCCGAAAACTCCAATTCTTGTGGAATTCAGAATTCAGAATTCAGAATTATTTATCCTACGTTTCAACAGCTAAGGAGAAAGTTAGAGTTTGAAAATTTAGTTCCTCCAAACACGCAGTACGTAGAATTTAAGTCAAAATCGCCGTTTTAAGAATAGTGTCAAAAATAACCATCTTGATTAAAACTAAGATACTTTATGTGTACCTTATAGTTATATAATCAAATGTAGTATCTCGATCGAACCATGGAAGTTTCAGTGATACGAAGTGATTTTAAGAATATCAGTACCTTTTTTCAGAAATATCAGTACTTTTATGCTGTTACATCGGCCGTGAGCTTATCCGGAGAAGCTGTACCGGAAGAAAAATGTATAACCCCAGTCGGCGGAAAAATAACTACCTTGCTATCAGTCTGGCACAGAAAAATGAAAATTAACCGATTCCCCATACGGTGACAACCAGCGAAATTAAATGCTACAAAAACTTTGCCTGATCTCTTATTTGTCTTCAGTGAACAATGTTTTACTTGTTATGTTGCCTCGAATAGACCTTACAGGGTCTGACTGAAGGTTTCACTGTGTCTTTTCCTTGTAACTAAAGAAGAAGATGCCATTGGATCAGTCACTTACTCCGTAGGGAAACCACTAACATCTCAAACGGCGCTCTCAGATAGACACCAGAAAATAAAGGAAGAGCCATCTTCAGGCTCTAAACCTTAACTAGGAGCAAGCCGCGCGGGTTGCAAAGGACCAAAAGGAATGGATAAAGCTTGATCATGAACTATGCGGCACTTGGTGTCCAAAGAACTGACGATGATAATTGTGTCTTTTGCGTTGACTTTGTTTTGGTTGACCAAATTCAATACCTTTGGCCGAATTTTCTAACAACGCCAAGCGAGTTGCTGTTATTTTCTAGAATTGTTCGTAACATTTTTTTTTTTCATTTTCAGCATGTTGTGGTTCCTGTAACAGGTGCTGTTGTATTTGTTTGTCACGTGTCCCTGTTGCTTCGCTGATCGCTTCGTTTGTTTTGGGGCTCGGTTTCACTGGATTTGCTCTCGGGCTCAGTGAAGGAGTCAACAACCTTAACAAATGGCTCAAAATGGATATTGTGTAAGTACCTATTACTGTGTAGTGCGTTAATGACGCCTAGACTTCCTTACTCGAAGCTACCGTCTACCCCATTCATTGAAGGACAAATTTAAACGAGTTTCCATTGCGCAACTCCTTTTAATTGCAAAATTTATCGATATTTGCGTTGTACTAGATGTTTTTGTTGAGACTAGCCGTTCTGCTGATCAGTACTTGAACTTGTTAGGTCAATTGTGACCCTCCTAGTCAATGACCAGTGAAGCAAAACACCATTCAAAATGTGCATTTTTTGAAAGACCTTGGTGTTCGATAACAAATATCTTATATGAGGTTGACATTTCGGCTTGAAGAACCTGTCCCTAGGAACAAGAGTAACAAGGGTGGTTAGGAATATAAAAGATTAAAGCTAAAAGGAAGGCCAACGCCATCCTTTGGGAGCAGCCGTCTTTAAATTCTCCGGTCAAACAACTTAATTTATCCCTTTCATACTAATTAGTCTCCTTTCTTAGGTTAAATAGTTTTACTCTTGTTGTTTTTTTTGGTTCACGCCTTAATCCTTAATTATTCTTGTAAGTATCTCACTTTGCCATGCTATTTATTGCATATTTTCATTTTATTTCTCACTGTACAACTGACGATGGATGATGTCTCATCCGAAAGATGTATTTTCTTCATTAAATAATGAACTTCAAAAACACCGTGTGGCTCACCAAAGCAATAATGATGATGATAATAATAATAATGATGATGATAATGATAATGATAATGATAATGATGATGATGATAAATGCTGTTATCAAGGGGTGCCTTGGAAAACAATAAAACTAGAACTAAAATATCAATAAAAGTCCTAGAAACATACAGAAAAAGATATGTCATTCGGAAATGGGAATTACTGTTTCGAGATAACCGTGTTTTGTACTGTTTCCGCAGGGAATTGGCCTCTCTCGGAATCATGCTTCTTGGAATATTTTTTGGCGGCTTATCGGGACTGGCACTGTTACATGGTTTTGCAGCTACAGGACGAACGAGGTTCAACTGCTGCGGCGGCTACAAAAGACGCCTTCTTGGGCGTTGCTGTATTGGTTTTGTAAGTACACTTGATATTATTTTTTATTTCGAACCCGAGGGGACTTCCCTATAAAAAGGACATGGATGCTCTTCGGAAATGTTGAAAACAAAAAAACCCTAAGAGGTACCTTGATCCTGTCTTGTGGGCGTGGCTTGAAACAACACATTAAGAGAAACTTTCAAAATTTTTAACAGCGATAAAGATGAATGTAAATGAGACAAAATTAAAAATCAGT